TCCTTCCCTCCAACCTTCCTTCCGTCTCTTCCTTCCTACCTCCTCCATCTCTCCCTCCTTCCCTACCTCCCTCCTTCCTTTGCATCCTCCCTCCCATCTCCCTCCCACCTTCCTTCCATCCTCCCTCCCACCTTCCTTCCATCCTTCCTTCCATCCTCCCTCCCACCTTCCTCCCACCTTCCTTCCTTCCGTCCTTCCATCCTTCCCTTCCTTCCTTCCCTCCCCCATCCTTCCTTCCTTCCCTCCTTCCTTCCTTCCTCCTTTCTTCCATACTTCCTTCCCTCCCACCTTCCTTCCTTCCTTCCTTCCTTACCACCTTCCTTCCACCCTTCCTTCCCTCCTCCTTCCCTCCTTCCCTCCTTCCCACCTTCCTTCTATCCTTCCTTCCCTCCCACCTTCCTTCCCTCCCACCATCCTTTCTTCCATCTTCCTTCTCCCTTCCCTTCCCTCCCTCCATCTCTCCTCCCTCCCTCCCCCTTCCTTCCATACTTCCCTCCCATCCTTCCCCTCCACTTCCTCCTTCCTCCTTCCTCCCCCTTCCTTCTTCCCTCCCACCTTCCTTCCTCCCACCTTCCTTCCCTCCCACCTTCCTTCACCTTCCCTCCCATCTCCCACCTTCCCTCCCACCATCCTCCCTTCCTTCCTTCCTTCTTCCTTCTTTCCACCTCCTTTCTCCCTCTCACTCTTCCTCCTCCCCCAGGTGTGCGGACGCCCCCTGATCGTCTACTGTCTGCTGTCCTTCGAGGAGGCGCCGTGGCTGACGAAGGTGGTGGTTGTGGCTGACGACGTGAGAAGGATGGCGCAGGTGGTCAGGGAAGCCGGGTTGTCGAAGGTCGTGGTTGTGGAGGTAAGGTGGTTTTTTTTCTCTGTCGTTTCGTTTTTTTTCTTCTTCTTCTTCTTCTTCTTCGTCTCTTTTTCTTCTTCTTCTTCTTTTTCTTCTTCTTCTTCTTCTTCTTCTTCTTCGTCTTCTTCTCTTCTTCTTCTTCTTCTTCTCTTCTTCTTCTTTTCTTCTTTTTTTTCTTTTTTCTTTTTCTTTCTTTCTCTCTTGTATTTGTCTTTTCTCTTTTTCTGTTTTGTACTCATTTCTTGGGTCTCTGGTTTTACTTGGCGATTTCTGTCTTTCTCTTTCTGTCTCTTTTTTTTCTCTCTCTCTTTCTGTCGTCCCCTCCCTCTCCCTCCCCTCCTCTCTCTTCTCTCTCTCTTCCTTTTTTTTCTTCTCTCCTCTCTTCTTTCTTTACCTCCCACAACCTCACCCCTATTCTTGTATTCTTCCCAATTCGTTTTCTTTCCCTCCATCTCCCTTTTCCGAGATTTTGTGTTAATATGGGTTTTATGTTATTGTTCTTTTCAGCTTTGCTTTGTTATTTAGGACTGTATAATGTACATGCATATGTGTGTGTGTGTGTGTGTGTGTGTTGCTCGCTTGCGTGCGTAGATGTGTGCCTGTCTTTTGAGTGTATTTTGTTCGATATAAAGAACTTTCATTAGAGCTGTACACCATTATCTGTCTGGGCTGCGACCGGCAGGGCTGCCGCACCCGCCACCGCTCCATCCGCGTCGGCCTGAGCGCCCTGGCCGACGACCCTCCGGAGGTGGTGGTGGTCCACGACGGCGTCCGGCCCCCTCGTGCCCTCGCGACCCTCAGGCAGGTCGTGGCGGCGGCGGCGGAGCGAGGGGCGGCGGGGGCGGTCCGACCTCTCGTGTCGACGGTGTTGCGACCCGCGCCCCCGGAGGAGCAGGGCGCCGCGGGGGTCGAGGTCCTGCGGGAGAGTCTGGTGAGGAGCGACTTCCGCAATTCGGAGATGCCGCAGGCGTTCCGCTTCGCCGTCATCACGCGGGCCTACGGCAGGTGAGGGGGACTCGGGGAGGCGCTCTGACGGGGGGACCACGATGGGCCATTTGTGAGTGAAAGAAAGGATTATATCTTTGTGAAGTAGTTTATTGGTTGTGTTTGTAATAAAATGGTAATACAAATTTCTTATAGTTTATGACATGGTATATTCATTTTTTTAGGAAAAGCCATCACACCCAGAATACTCAAAAATATTTGTTTCTCGTCCAATGTTAAGCCTATTTTGTCTACGAAGTTTTGTTATTAGATCACCATTTTTTTCCTTCCATTTTAACTCCACGGTAGATCGCCATTTAGTATTTCAATTGATTTTATTAACGGTAGATTCCCCACCTAGCTGCAGCGACGAGGAACTAGACCACGGGACAGAGTGCCTGGCCCTGGCACTGAAGCACACGGGAGTGAGAGCCGCGCTGGTGCCCGGAACGCCCGACCTGTGGAAAGTACGTAAGGCTGGGTATGGTATGATGGGTATGTTATTTGGTGGTAGTCCGGTTTATGTGGTATTAGAAGGCTGGGTGTGGTATACGTTATTAGGTGGTATTATGAAGTATGAAATGGCTTTATATAAGTGGATATGGTATTGATGATAAGTTATATGGTAGTATGTGGTAAGGGTTTATGTGGTATTAGAAGGCTGGGTGTGGTATACGTTATTAGGTGGTGTTATGAGGTATGAAATGGTATTATAACTGGATATGGTATTGATGATAAGGTATTATATGGTAGTATATGGTACTGTATGATATAGGGTTGGATATGGCATTAATACCAAAATAATGTTATTCTACGAACCCTTTTCTTTCTGTACCATTGAGTGGTTCTGGACATTATGTACCATAGATTAAAGCGAGACATTATTTTACTCTAAACTGATCCGGTTACAATTAATTGCTTTAATACATTCATTTACTTTAAGGTGATTCTACGCTATTTCGTTGTAAAGTGTTTGTGTTCATGTATTATGAATTATTTCTTCACATTATATAACTATAGATTATTTTTTCTCATTGATTTATGCCTCAATTTGCTATATTTTATTCTACTTATCTTCACTATAAATTGTTTGTATGGATTTATTTACTACTGATTCTACGCATTCATTTATAACTGACTCATTTTACGTGTTCAATTCAGTTTTGTATATGCAAGTTAAAACCCATTCTAAACCTTACTCATGCATTTGAGGTAAACTGGTTCTGTAAATAAATTTTTGTATGTACAATTTTGTTTTTGTTTTGCATGTTAAAACTCATTTTAAACCCTACACATGCATTTAATATGAATTGATTCCGTACATATATTTTTTTTGTATATTCATGTTAAAACCCATTCTGAGCCCAATTGATGAGTGTTCGTCCCTTCCGTGAATAGGTAACGGAGGCGCGTGACCTTGTGGTGGCGCGGGCCGTCCTGCCACGCCACACGCGCCACCTCGCCCTCCTCTGCGGCGCCCCTCCACCCGACGACGCCCTGGGATTCACGCCCACGGGATCAGGGGGAACGGAACCCGATGGTGAGGACGCCGGGAGGAGCTCAAGGGCCTCGGTGCCTTTCCTGACGTCCTTGGCCTCAGGGAGCGAGTCTGAAGGAGGCACCGACGACGTCTGGAGGCTCGAATGCGGCGCGGAGTGTACGCGAGTGATTGGACTCCTCGCCCCCCGCCTCCGCTCGCACGCCTTCAGCCTCCGGTGTTACCACAGCCTCCAGGATCTCCAGCGCCTCTCCAGCGACGCCAGGGGAAGGGCCTCGGTCGCGGTGGTGGCGGTGACTTCCCTGCGAGGACGTCCCCGTAGTCTTCGCTCCCATCTGGAGGAGCTGAAGCAAGGGCTGGGCGTCGGTACCTCGTGTCTGATCCTCATCCTATCCCTGGAGGAGGACGAGGCGAAGACGGAGGGCTCGTCCGGGTCCTTCCAGCCGTCTCTGGACATCCCCGCCCTGCAGGAGGACGTCAGACAGACATTCCAGGGACACGGAGCAAGCGTCACTGTCCTTCTAACCGGTAATAAGACTCAAGCTCCTTCAGGAATTCAGAAGGAGACGAACGAAGGAAGGCAGATGGAGAAGGAGAACCAGCTCCTTGACCTGATGGAGGCGCTGCTGCAGCAACACTCCAGGGCTTTCCACGGCCAGGTTTTAGTCGTCTAGAACACAATTTAATCATGACTGTCATGAGTATTAGTGCCATTTTTTTCCCAAAGGTCTGAGTAGATTTAAGTGTTTTGGAATTCGGTCTTTCCTTAATTTCCCACCGACTTATTGTGGCCGATGTTTCCTATATTTAGAACTAAAAAGTCGGTGACATTGACAACTTATTGGTGGTGTCCGCTGCTGATTCCTCGGGAGGTTTTTCAGTGGCTTACTCTTTGCCTTGTATTTTAACTTCAAATTCTTCCTCATTTCCCTTTTCTCTCATTATCACTTCTTCCTCCTCTTCTCTTGTCACTTCTGTTTCTTCCTCTTCTTTTCTCTCATTATCACCTCTTCCTCCTCTTTTCTTGTCACTTCTATTTCTTCCTCATCTTCTCTCTCTCTCTCTCTCTCTCGATTAACCCTCACTTTCCTCTTTATCCTTTAGAATCCTTTCTTTCCCTCTGACTCTTACTTATTTTTCTTTTCCTCTTACTCCCCTCACTTCCATTGCTTTCTCCCTCTTTCTTTTCTCTTTATCTTTCTATCTCTCCCTCGTCTTCTCTCGCTTCCTCTGCTTCCTCTCTCTTCTCTCTCTCTTCCTCCCCCTCCCCCACCTCTCTCTCTCTCTCTCTCTCTCTCTCTCTCTCTCTCTCTCTCTCTCTCTCTCTTCTCTCTCTCTCTCTCTCTCTCTCTCTCTCTCTCTCTCTCTCTCTCTCTCTCTCTCTTCTCTCTCTCTCTCTCTCCTCTCTCTCTCTCTCCCCCCCCCCCAACCTCATCCTTCTCTCCTAGTCGTACCAAATTTACGTTGCTGTAATCACCGAATCTCGCGTCAGTCTAAGCTTTCCCATTGGAAAATTATTCTTTTGGTTCGCTCAGTATTAAGATGGTGATGTCACTGGCGCTTTTTTTCGTGGGTTTGTGTGCATACGCATACGCACAAGCACACGCACATGCATACGCATTTGCACATGCACTTGCACACGCATATGTACACACACACACACACACACATACTTGTATATCTACATGTGTATATGGACAACATTTTTATTATTTGAAATCCACTCATACCATAGTTTGTCACAATGCCCTTGGGAATTACCCTTTGAAAAATAATTATCATTACTTTTAACGGTACATAAGATGCACCATAGTTATTAGATGACTTCTTTGTCAGGAAGAGAATTATTTTGAAATAAATATTTTAATAGATAATGGTATTGATTTATTTTCCTAGGAAAAAAAACTAATTTCTTGAAACCCCGCCTGATATAGGAACAAGTGTAAGGTGTTCTTGGATGCTGCATCTCATCCTCTCCGCTCTCCCGCTCTGACTGCCGTGTCGGAGGATTGTCACGTGTCTCACCACCTCGGTTTTGGGTTGTTTTTTCTCGGTTTTATTTACTTTTATTGTTTTATTTTAGTTTCCCCTTTTTATTCTGTGTTTTCTCTGAACATTTTTATTTATGATTTAACAACGAGGCATTTTTGATGACCGTTTTATCATCAGCTTTTATTCATTTTAGTCTTTTTAACATTCAGTAAAGTTTTAAGGTCTCGTTTTTACTTAGTTTTCATTTTAAGTTGTAGGGGAAGCATTTTTACGTACAGTGTTTATTCTTTCTTTTTAGTTTTGCATTTCTTTTTTCTTATGGTTTCTATTTTATACTTTTAGTTTTAGTTTTGTTCATTTTTCTGTGCATTTTTAGTTTATTTATTACAAGAATATATTTTGTAAAAGTGTTTGGCCTCTGACGTAACGGGGCATTGAAGAAAGTAAACAATAATCAGTTCGAATCGAGACGTGAACGAGTGTGCTTCGTTATCCTTCGAAGCTTCGAACCACCGGCAGTTTCGCCATATTTATTGACCTGAACAAAGAGACGATCACGGAAGAATATAAGTTAAGTACTGAGATCCTGACATTCTTTGCATAGGAGCTGGACGTGATCCTAAGAACAATTTTATTGAATAATTTGAACATCTTTTTATTTATTTGTTTATTTTTGAATGGACGTGGCTGGTTTGTTTTCTCTTTGTTTTATTTGTATTTAAATAGTTTTGTGTAACTTAACATTTCAAAGTAGGAAGTGTGAGTGATCTTTTAGTTTTATTTTCCTGTTTCGTTGTCACTAGACTCGGGTTTTATATTGTCCTTTTTTTTAGGTTTAAGGGGTTTTAAGCCTTCAACTCTGACGCCAGATTTGCTGGTTTTGTCTTTGTTTTATGGTAAGGCCTTCAGCCAGGCTCTTCACTCTGGAAGTCTTTTCTTTTAGTTTTTGCATACGACAGTCAGTCATTTTAGTCGCCTTTAGCACATATTCTTTTACTTTTTTTTTTTTTTTTTTTTTTTTAGATTAATTTGTAGTAGTATTTTACCATATGGTTAGGCTGAACGTCAGAAAGTGGTATTCACACTGGAACTCCCCTATTAATGGTTCAGCCCCCCCCCCCCCCACGCTACCACTTAAGGGGATTGAATTGACGGTAAATTGACAGGGGTTAACCAGGTCCATTTGCGCCTGTATCCCCCGCCATTATTATTATTATTATATTATTATATGAAGGTATATAATGAGCCGCACTGAAAAACGAGATTTATGCCACCAAAGGTGTCAGTGCAGGTCAAGATACAGCTGAGAAAGAATGAATAAAAGAAAGGCAGCTAATTACGTAAGAAAAACATGTTAGCTGACGTTTTAAATTTATTAAGAGTCGAAGAAGTTATAATCTCTGAAGGCAATCTATTCCAAAGTCTACAAATAGCAGTAAAAAAAGCATCTAGAAAACTGTGTAGACGATCGACTTCCATCAAATGTCATTGAATTGAGGGTCATAGAACTTCAGGTAATTCTTGCAGGTTGATAAAAATCAGGTAAAAACTTATAGAGGGGATGTGAATTATCGGTTACAATCTTGTATAAAACTGAAAGAGCCCCAATAACTCTACGATGTCCGATGTCCAAATTTAAGTCAGACAGGAGAAATTTAATAGAATTAAAAGAACGATCAAGCAGTCTTAAGTGTGAGTCTGCAGCAGATAACCACACAGAAGAACAATACTCAAAATGAGGCGTGTAATGTCATCTTCATAGATTTTCTTGCACTTGCGAATGATGCCTAACTTTGATGAAATTGCCCGGGCCATATTCCTAATATGCAATTCAAATGTAAGCTTTGAATCAAAGGTTACACCTAAGAGCTTCAAGTTATCCACCGAAGTGATTAAGACTCCGTTAATCAGCAGACTTGGATGCTGAGGCAACTGCGTTCGAGACCGACTCACAATCATTTCTTTAGACTTAGTAGGATTTAATTTCATGCCCCACCGAGAGCACCACGATTGAATCATCATCAGGTCTACAGTGAGACTGTCAGCTATTATTTGCCTAGTCGCCGGAGAAGGAATATCAGCATAGAGAGAAGTATCATGCAGAGATGTTCCAGTGAATGAGTTAACGCTCTGATTAACCACTTTCTGATGTTGAGACGCCCAGCATTATTTTTTATGTCGTGCATGCTTTTAAGTAGTCGTTCCCCATTTATTTTGCTTTTGGGGTTTGTGTTTTATGTTGTGCTTTTTTTCCCTCTTTTACAGGTTTTCAGGGTATTTAGTTTTACTTTTGGTAGTTTTTAGAGCTTGGCCCTTTTCTTACACAAGGATAAAACAAAACACAGCGCCAGTACTTTAGTTTATGTTAATATTTATCAAGAACCAGATGGAAATGCTAATAGGAAGTAATTATACTGCCAGTGTTGCTATAAATACTAAGATCTCCCAGATGTTTAGGAGACCCACTGCCAAAATAGAGACTCTATCTTCAAAGTCTGAAGCCAGATCATGATGGCTTAGAAATGGAAATAAATAATAATTACACGTACATACACACATACTTACAAATCCAAAGTATAAGAAGTTATGGTAATGTTTTAAATTATAAACATATTTATCAATTATTATGAAATGTTAAAAAATGCATCTATTATTTACTGACAGTGTACGAATTGAGTGATTTGTCTTCTCGGTTTCTCGTCGGTATCACAGATCAATTTTATTTCTTTTTTTTTTCATATTATATTGCTAATGCGTTTGTATGAATTAATTTATTATGTGTTAGACTAATCTATAACTGTAACCTTATGTTTACATCACATGTACGAGCATATTAGTATTAATCGTTTACTTATGAAAAAATGTTTTAAGTATTTTTTTTATTGGAAAAAATATTTTAAGCATTACTGAATTCCAAGCTGTCGGAGCAGAGGTCACATGAGGGTCACTTCGGTGCGCTGAAGTGAGGTCAGAGTGAAGTGTGGATTTCAGAGCGCGAATTTCGAAATTTTAAGATGTTCATAAAAAAAAATTGAGGAAGATTGCACAACGGGAGGAAAGCGGTTTCTGGTGGATACGGACGTAATATGAATAATTATGGTAGTTATATATATGTAGTAATTTATTTTACAATTACGAGAGAGGGGGAGCAGGAGCGAGAAGAAGAGAGAAAGGAACGAGAAGAAGAGAGAAAGGAACGAGAAGAAGAGAGAAAGGAACGAGAAAGAAAGAGAAAGAGAGGGGGAAGCGAGAGCAAGAGAGAGAGAGAGAGAGAGAGAGAGAGAGAGAGAGAAGAGAGAGAGAGAGAGAGAGAGAGAGAGAGAGAGAGAGAGAGAGAGGCAGACAAGCAAGACAGACCGAAAGAGAGAAATACAAATATCCTTGTCCCACGCGACAGTCTCAACCACCGGATATATGCTTGCCCCCCCCCCCCCCGCCCTGCCCATAGGTCAGTCCCCCCAAACTCACTTTTTTCTGTGATCACACGCTGACTCCCACGCCGCTTCCTTCAAGAAATTTACTCATTTTCAGCGGCTCTAAATCCCGTCTTTCTTTCGTTTGTGTGAAAAAAAACGTTCTACATTGCGTTTACTGACCGCCTTCTGGAACCTTCTAAAATTCCTCCAAAAGACTATTAAAGGATTTTGTTTATTTGTGTCCGGTCGGAGTCCTGCGCTGTCGCCTGGCCTGCTCGCATCAACCAAGGAATCCTAAATGAATGCTACCTTGGCTACAGTTCCAATGTAAGTACTTTCTTGTTGTTTATTTTCCTTGCTTTTCTTCCCTCTCGAGTGTCTATAAATATGTGAATGGGTGAACTTGTATTGTTTAGTCTGGGAAGGGATTGTGGGCGCAGCTGCCTACGATATTTTTGTGTTTTCTGTGTTCTCTTCTTCCAGTTCAACATAGCATCGTTATGTTATTCTTTGGATAAGAATAATTAATTTAATTATTTGTTAATTTAATCTTTGAAGGTGTCTAATGCATCCATATTTGATATTCGAGATTAGGTTAATCATACGCCACCTAACTTACGATAAATAGTCAGTTTCTTTTTCGTTCGTAATTTTTCCTCGATTAGATCTTCGTTCGCATATATCTCTTCTTCTCAAAAACGCTTAACTCATTTTCCGTTCTTGTGAATCGAATGAGTTCACTTTTGTCTGAGAATAATGGAAGGGAAAAAGTGACGCGATCTAAACTAGGTGATGGAGGAACCGTGTGTGCGTAATTTCGGTCCCATGTGTACGTAATTTGAACTAGGTGATGGAGGAACCGTGTGTGCGTAATTTCGGTCCCATGTGTACGTAATTTGGGCGGAAGGTCAGCAGGGGTCAAGGTCTAGGGAAGTAAGGTCAAGCTTTGGCATCTTGTGCAGGTCACGTGGGATGGGGTCTAGTTGGCAAGATAACGGTCGGTTCATTTTATTTAGAAAACGCAATTCTAAGAGGGTAGACTACTGTAATCAATTACAACGCGAGAGAAAACGGGACTACCTTAAGGACACACTATTGTATTTTGTTACAGCCGATAACTATTAGCTCGTAGCCAGTTGTTTCTTTCTCTGTGTATGTTTAAGAATTCGAAGTAAGGAAACCATCACTCATTTATCTTCAAGGATAGTCTAAGGATAGTTATCAAGGTTGCTTTTAATTATGCGCGTTTTAATTTAATTATTGTGTGTTTTTCGGAAGTGAGTTATTACGACAAAAGCCCAGGAGAGAATGAAGTCACGGCCAGACCTTAACCCCTTGCCCGTGGGAACCTGCGCGGGTTGGACCACTTTGGGGAGTTGGGAATGAGTTGACCACTTACCTTGTTTCCAAACAGATTAGGAAACACATTGTAGGCCTATTCGCTCGGCGTTCGTCCGAGTTTTATTTTTCGAGAATTTAGAGCTGCGTTCAGGATAGGTAGGGATAGATTTTTAAGCTTATTTTTTTCTGTCTGTCTATTATCAACTATTGCATCTCGTTACTATTGCAAAGTGGTCACTGAATGACTCTGGTGCAAGTATGACTCTATCATGCACAAAATTCCTTCCAATTGCATAATGTAGCCTCCCCCCCCCGCCACATGAGATTCCCTGTCTGCATCACATATTAAACCCTTCACCAATTTCATTAAACTGACGGTCTGCAAATGAAGAATGTCTAGCCTAGTGTGCCATGATACAGGACTTTGTTCACTGATTCAGTTTGGAATTTCTTACACTTTACATATACATTGTATAGATGAGGAAACCCTGAGTCTGTGCGATTATCTAAGTATTGATATACGGCTTTGCCATCGGACTTCTGAATAAGCATAGGCGATAAGGTATCACTAATGTCAAAGATCCTGTCACTCACGTCTTCGTACGGGGTTGATACCCTCCAATTCTGGGGGGGGGGTTTATATATACAGGCTGGAATAAAGTCTATTAAATGCGAAAAATTCCCTTATACTTTTGTCGATTTTTGATAATTTTGTAATGATTATTATTTATTGAACTGCACTGTAGCATATTGATGCATATCCCTTTTATCGCTTGTTCTCGGCTACTTGAATGCATATTCCTCTCAAAAAGTTATTTATTTCCATTTTCTATTGGTTAACGATGACAGGATGCATATCCCTTTTTATCGCTTGCTCTCGATTACTTAACTGTATATTCCTCCCCCCAAAAGTTTTTTATTTCCCTTTTCTCGCCTATTGGTTAACGGCGACGGGGCATGAACTTCATCGAATGGCAGTTGACTTGTGCTCTCTCTTCCAGGATGTTGGTGGTCGCGCTTCTCCTCCTGACGACCTTCGCTGGGGGGTCCTCGCAACGGCTGCCGGAGCGCCTGAGATCCGCGCCTGGGGCTGTGATTGAGGACCTCGGACTCGTGTATCCGGTAACGAGCCACGTCGAGGCCCGTTTCTCCCTCTCGCCCCTCCGCAAGGCCTTGGAACTCCTGGCGCACCATAGGGACCGGTTCACCTCGCTGCAAGGGAACCTCACGCTCGATCCTTCTCGTGACTCGGAAAGCGTTCGTCTCTTCAACCAAACGCTTTCCTTGACCATATCGAGTTTGGGTTCCTTCGCGGCGCCCGACGGAGCTCTAGGTGGCTCGGCCCAAGGGCTCTTGGGATTCTTAGGCGGCGTGGGGTTATCCGAGCTCCAGGAATACAGGGAGAGCATATCTGTCGTCAAAATTTTCGATGCGTCCGTGGAAGGAGACGACGGCGGCGCCCTCTCGCAAGAAGTTGAAGAGTTAACTTCACTTTTTAAAGTTATCAAAGATGAGATCGTTCATCTCTCCGGGACTGCAAATGAGACACATGACATCACTCTCTTCACTTTTCAGCTTTTTTCTTACCAAATCGCTCTCAACCGGATTACAGGAATCGTAGATGACTTGACACATGCTCTTAGTAGGGCAATTTATGGAAAGGTGATGCCAAATCTCATTTCTCATGACGACTTGAACCCGGTTCTTGGGAAAATGTCATATTACTCTCTCATTCCTCTTTTCCCTTTAAAGCAATACACTCCCTTTTACGCAAGCCTGAAATGCTTCGTCACTGCTTCCGAATTGTCGATAATGATTCCATTGCATCCTTCAGTTGTTTTTAAAGCTTTCCGGATACATCCTTTCCCCCACAAGACAAATAACTCCCATTTCGTGGTTCAAACAGATCACACGCTCATCTTCAAGCTGCAGCATAGACGATCTATATCCTACCCTCCTGCGGATTTCCTAAACAGCTGCTCAAAACCTGCTCAGAACATCCACGTATGCTACTCACGGCCTCTGGCAATACTGCACAGAGAAGACTGTTCTCTGGCCCTTGCTACGGGTGGGCTCATCCCTGTCTCGTGTTACTTCGACGTCATCGACCCTGAAGTGACGCCCTTTGTCCTAAGTCTCCCGGAGGTGACGTTGCTCTATTTCTATCGCCCGACGTTCGCCATCGTCGCCTGCGAGGACCGTCGGCCGCATATGGTCCTAGAAGGGACTTTCCTCTTGCCCCATCGCTGCGAGCTTGATTTCCTCTCCTTGCACATTCCTGCCGCCATGACCTTCGCCGCGGATGTCCACTCGAACCCCGCCAAGATGAGTCCTTCGCTCATGACCTTGCCGGCAGCCAACGTCACGATCCCCGAGTCGCGAGTAATGCGGGTGGTGAGAGCTCAGAACGCGGGCGAGGAATTTCTGTCGGAGTATGACTTCTCCTATCCGATTTATGTTAATTTGGTAGGTATGTTTATCCTCATACTCTTGTTTGGAGCGTGTTATCTCAAAGCGTATAGGATGGCAAGAGATGAAGAGACAAAACAGGCTGTGGTCCAGGAGCAGTCTGCCCCGTGTCTGCCGCAATCAGAGGCGCCCCCTGCATACTCGGAGAGTTAGTGACCGCGACGAGTAGAATTTTGTACTTATTATTATTATTATTACTATTTATTATTTTTTATTTTTTTATTTTTTTTTTTTTTTATTTTTTTTATTTTTTTTGCTTGTTCGCAATCCTGTGTTCGTGGTTCGAGTCCTTGAACGCTGCCACGACCACATCAGTGTTGGAGTAGTTCATTTCAAGCCAACAAAAATTAGAAAAAAAAACAGATGTACTGATCAACGGTTGATCTTTCTTCTAACCGAACTATCTTGGCCCTCGTGTGTATTATCTCAGTACGGCGGTTTCAGTGTCATGTCTAGAAAATGCCACTGAAAAATAACCACCCAGCACCTCAGGAACAGTACCGACGGAGGACATTGCTGCTGCAGGTGAAGCTGTCTCCTCCGGTGGTGACGAGGCCGTGGGACACTTCGAGGACGTGTAGAGGTCGAGGAGGACCTGAAGCTCATCGCTGCAGGTGAAGCTACCCCTCCATCATGCCCTTACAGCCTCGCGCCTTGCCCTTCGTTCGTCGGATAAAAAGCTAGCATCCGCTCCACCGCTTCCCGAGCAAGGTCTTTATAAGTACTTAGATAGACCTTGTTCCCGAGGACGCTGTTGGTTTTTCTGGCGTTATTTCCGTCAATAAAGGCATAACGTTTACAAGGAGTTTTGCTGATCGCCTTCCAGTCTTTATATAATTCCCTTAATAGTCTATGAGAGGATCTTATAACACACATCTCTCTCTCTCTTCTCTCTCTCATCTCTCTCTCTCTCTCTCTCTCTCTCTTCTCTCTCTCTCTCTCTCTCTCTCTCTCTCTCTCTCTCTCTCTCTCTCTTTCACTTTCACTTTCACTTCTTTCTCTTTCCTCTGTTTTCTCTTGCTTTCTCCCTCCTAATAAAATGATGATGATAATTGTATTGCACAACCAGACTTCTCTCTCTTTTTTAACCCTATTTAACTAATGAAATGTGAAGCCACAGGTTACATTACATACCGTCATAACAGAGCAGCATTAATATTAAATTTAGAATGATATACGTTCACAGTGCTATGGCACTAATGCAAAAGTTGCTCCATGGTCCATTTTATATCCAGCACTAGAAAGAAAACTTTGAAGGGACCCTCTTCACATAAAGCCCTACAAATGCTTATTTTTTGGCTCATTGGTTATGTCGTAAGTAGTCTGTTCTATGTTATCCTCTAGAAACTACAAGATAAGAAAGTACAAGATAAAACAAATCTAAAACAGGAGAACTGTACTGACTAGCTAATCAATAATAATATATGAGAGTAAAAAAATATATAGAAAAATAAGTCTATTGACTCATGGATGAATGCAGTTTTATTTTTTAAGTACTAAAATGTGAATAGAAGACATTTTAATGAATGCAATATTTGCTAATAACTTTCAGTGGGGAAGGTGAGCAAATTTTTAACAAGCAAATTTTTATCTAAAGGAATTGTACATTCTCATATCTTCTGAGATAATGTCTTCAACCTCCAACCATGAAAATTGTCCAAAAAATTACTGTAATATGAGGAGTCTATTAAGGGAAGTCCCTTAGAACTACTCTTAAATGAGGGAATTATTACATATCTTATTCTAAATCAAACAACAAAAAAGCTAAGGGTTGTATAGGAAATATGATTATGCTGCAGACTGTAGATGCATTTTGTCAACCAACACGGAAATTGTAACTGACATCTCAGGGGGTAGGTTACTAGTAACTAATTTTTCTTTAAATGGGCACTTAAAATCTTCCCTTGCTAGTCATCTCACATCAGGAAATAACAATGATAAAATTCCAATACAAAATTACTACACACTTTAGGACAGAAAGAAAAACTAATTTATAAATTTGGGGTATATTTTTTACTATGACAAATATACAACTAAACTCTTATTTCTTATATCAAATTAATTGTACTTGAGTAACTTTGCACAGAAAATGTGGTACTCATAATCATGATACATCTTCTTGGACTTCTGATTATTAATTTACAGAGCAAGGCATCAACAAGACCTACAATACATAAAAAAACACATTTGGAAAAAAAACTGAGATACACGTACTATCAATGATACAAACCATTCACTACTTTCCTTAATATCATAATATACAGCATCTTGTATACAGTACATTCATATACAAAATACAAAAAACAAAAAAACTATATATTTGTTTAACTTTCCAGAAACATAGTACTGAGGATTATTTTTTTTACAAATTTCACAGGATTTTTATGTACAAGTTTTAAAGACAATTCACTTTCTTCAACTTTCTAAAAGTCCGCAATAATTTCTCAAAATACATAGTATTCTGTAGTATCTATTTATTGGCCATGTAAATAAGCACTGATTAATGCCACAAAGAAAGTATACATCTATAACACAAATTCAAGGAAGTACATTCCATAGAGTGGAAACAAAACTTTTGTTTATATTAAGATAACCATTTATTTCTTCAAATGGATTTCCTATAGGAATATTACTTATGTTGATGAACAATACAGCCTTAGTAGCCATAATTCAAGCACTTGGGAAAACATAGCTAAACATCCTCAACATAGAAAACTTGACTAATTCAAAGTGTAAACAAAACTAAACAATAAATTCAGACTGTATTTACATATAAAGAACTGAAGAAAAATACAAATGCATCACAAATTCTACCTTGCATCTGCAAATGGATTATACATCTGAAAAGAAAGACTAGAAGTCACTTTCTTGTGATTCACTGCCACATTACACAATGAATATGAACTTCCCTCTTGTTAAGGCCGGTATTAGGCAAGCATCCTTAGGGATGGAACTTGCTTGCCATAATGGCAATTGAGGCAATTTTCCAATTTATAGAATAGCTTATTATATATTCTTTAGTTAATCATTCACTGTACATTCTGCTAATTATATTCATCTAGTTACTACCTTCCTCCAGTAATACTTTTTCATGCACGTGGAACACCACCCATGAGCCTTCCATATTTTTATACTTATTGTATAAATATACTACAAAGAGCTATTCCACTCTCTTTTTTCATTCTTGAATATTATACTCACTCAGTCTGAATAACTGTTTTCTATTTTTGTCAGACAAGAAACTCAAATAAATCTTTTGGCTCACAAGTTCCCATCACTGTTTATGGAAAACACATACATAAATTCATTTGGATACTCAATATTTCCCAAAATTTAACAACAGAATATGTCCTGTTCTGAGAAACAATTTATTTGTGGTTCTTAGTACAAAACCACTTTTGATTTCCTATGTAATTTCCACATGGGCTCATCACTGCCAGTTACACACTGCCTCCTGTTTCTTAAATAAACTTTCCTTCACCATCTGTAGTGTTAACAGTATAACACATTGACAGTCACTGTGTTATCAATATTGTACTTTATCTTATAACTTTTTTCTTCATTAGCTTGCTTCCTTGTAACTTTATTTTCTTTCCATGTGCACACAAACTACATTTCCTTTCTAAGTGATACCACCTCTTTGAAGGTAACGCTTGTCAGTATCACTCTTATTAACCAGCCTTGGCATCTATGAGCTTTACAGTCTTCACAGGTGCAATATGCCTTTTCTCGCAGGATAGGGAAATGTCCAAGTTTTTCTTTGCACAGGAAAGAAAAATGCATAACAACCAAGAAGTCAAAGTTTTCTTTTAGTCAAATTTCACAGCATACAATACTGACATTCAGTATCTTGGGATAGTCTAGAATGGCCTCATCACTGTATCACTACAGTATTCACAAACAAATCTTGCATTGAGATCAAAATCACTGAGGTCTGTCACAATAATAATTACTTTCTGCATGCTAGTGCGTGAATTCAGCAATCTTTTTCACTGTGTTAATGTCATTCAGAATCAGCTTCACAAGTGCTCTGGCTTGCAGTGTTGCAGGATCTCGTTCTTCACTTTCCTCTTCACAATCGTCATTTCCTGTGTCGCCCGAGAGCCCCATCTCTGCTTCCAGCACTGAAATTGGCAGGATAAACTTGAATCTGGTCATACATTTATGGCTACTCATTTTACTCAAGATCTTTATCCTTTTGTTATAACAGGCAACAAGCAATATATCTATAGCCAAGAAAAAGCCTACAAAATACATTACATCCAATAAAACATAGAATAGAATTAACAATCATGGCTAATCTGACTTCCCACTTTTAACCCCTCATGAATGGGCTGAAGGTAACCATACAACACCCATCAATTTTTTCTACGAATAAATAAAAAAAAAACAATGCTTTCCCTTATGAAATTACTCAGCAAACATTAAATAAAGACTAAAAACTAAATCCATTCTTCATTATACGAATTTGGTTTAGTGTGGATAAAGTGGTGGCTGGTGACTCTGTAATTCATATTACAGAAAAGTCTACAAGGAATAATGAAGAAACCATCTTTCACTACTAACCTTCAAGCTGTTTTTCAATCTCATCAAATCTCTTGGTTATGTTGCTCTGCATGACCTGCACATGCTCCAGGAGGTTCAACTTACAGTTCACAGGTTCAATTCTCTCAGCTTCGGGGATAATGGGAGCGACGACTGCAAAGGTGGAAGGTTAATATTATTCTGAACACTTTCCAGGCATAAATCTTACCTCTAAATCTGAGAGAATCTCATTTAAAAAAAAAATCTATTTCAGTAAATATAGGATAATTCAGGAAAAGGAGTATCAACAATGTAACTACAATTCTTCATTAAATTATTCTATATATCAGAACATCAGACTTTTTAGATATACCTTGTGGCTCCAGACTAGGTGTTGACACATGAGGAGACAAGGCAGAACTAGCCTGTGTTACTAGTTGTTCCAGTTCTGTCTGCGAGGACAGGAGAGCGGCAGCAAGGTCATCTCCATCATCCAGCTGGGCCTCATCATCATCTAGGACATCCCCTGGAGCATCAATCTCCTCTGGCTGTGGCAGGTCAGCAGCAACTATGTCCTCTTCTTGGGGCAGCTCAATATCTCCAAGGTTTTGCGTCATTTCTTTCTCCATTGTTTCATCATTCTCAGTCCCCTTGGTGTCTTCAGATGGCTTTGTTTCTGCAGTCTCTGAATCCCTTTGGTTTGCTGCTTCATCCTTTTGACTCTTAGTAGCCTCAGAATCTCCTTCATTTTCCTCCTTTGTTGAATTCTCAACTTCTTTGCTTCCACTCTCTTCCCCTTGCTTTTCTTCTTCTGTATCACATGCCTCCTGAGTCTCCTTTTTGTCAATAGTGAGAGACTCACTTGTTGGTCCACCTTCAGGAACCACTTCTGAACTTGAGCTCTTTTTGACATCCTCTGAAGCTTCAGTCTCTCCTTCCTCTTTCAATGCAGTGGAAGGCGGCTCAGACTGAGTTTTGGTTGGCATCTGGTCAGAACTGGTCTCTGATGAAGCTTCTTTGGAAACTTCTGAATGTTTGTCAGTACTGACAGATTCTGAGTTATTTGAAGTGTCACCTGCTTCCATCTCTTCTTTGCTTGTCCTCTGTTCCTCTTTATTCTCCCCTTTGTCTGTCTTCTCTTCTGTAGAGGCTGCAGGTGGAGTCTCTGAAGCATCAGGAGGACTTCCCTGTTTGCTTGTATCTGTACCTTCTTGTGTTGCAGATGATGCTTGTGCCTCCGCTGAGCTTGCCTGACTCTCTGAAGTGTCTAAATCCTCAGTCTTACTAACCCCAACATCTTCCTTTTTGTCCTGGTTAGCATCTGGTATTGTCTCACCTTCTATCTTTGTATCATCAGCTGCTGGAATCTTCTTGGAGAACTCAGTAGATGGAACAGCACTCTCAAAAGTCTGGTCTGCTAGATGCTGGACACTCGGAAGGTCTCCAGGTATCCCCCACACACTTGAAGCTGGAGTGGGTGTTAGAGCTAGTTCCATTGAGGTGCTTGTGTTTGGAGGATTTGGCATGCCAGCTTGACTCATTCCCACAGGGTTGGCAATGCCCTCATTGAGAGTCGCATCAGGTATGACGGAACTGCCCAGCGGTGGAGGGTTCAGGCTCGACCCATCTGGGCCCACAATGTCCATCAGGTCAGCTGGCAAGGGACCAATGGGCTCTGGGTCTGATGATGTCCCTGCTTTCTCTCCCTGTCCATTTCCCTCTTTCTTCTCGATCCACTTTTTGTGCCACATCACAAATTTAGGATGATCTGCCTCCCTGAAAGGGTAAAAGACCCAAGCTGTGAAGTACCATTCTAGGAGATATGAGAGAGAGAGAGAGAGAAAAAGGGGAGAGACAGAGAGAAAGGGAGACAGACACAGAGAGATAGAGAGACAGGGAGATAGATAGACAGAGACACAGAGACAGAGATAAATGTATACATCTATTTATTAATCATAATATCCAAACTTTAGAAATCTATAAAAGAAAAAGAATTAAAGTTTTGTATGCATACTTTGCAATATGCAATTTGAGCCTCAGTGAGTGAAGAACCTGCGACAACTGCAACACATTGGCAGTCAGCTCGTGGCCTCTCCTAACACAGGTCTCCAGTCGAGCATCGCCGCGGGTGCGCGAGAAGGAGAATCTGCAGAGAAACAAGCACTGTTATGATTGTTATTATTGTTATAGTATAATTATCAGCATTGCTGTTCAAATTTTTCTTAAATAGTTGATATTAGAGAGAGAGAGAGAGAGAGAGAGAGAGAGAGAGAGAGAGAGAGAGAGAGAGAGAGAGAGAGAGAGAGAGAGAGAGAGAGAGAGAGAGAGAGAGAGAAAGAGAGAAAAGAGAAAGAGAGGAGAAAAAGAAAAGAGAGAGAAAAAGAGAAAGAGAGAGAAAAAGAGAAAGAGAAAGAAAAAGAGAAAAGGAGAAAAGAGAGAGGAGAAAGAGAGAAGAGAGAGAAAAAGGAAAAAAGAGGGAAAAAAGAAAGAAAAAGGGAAAGAGAGAGAAAAGATTTCAGAGAGAAGGGAGAAAGAGGAGGAAAGGAGAGAAAGAACAAGAAGAAGAGAGAGAAAAAGAGAAAGAGAGAGGAGGAAAGAGAGGAAAGAGAGAGAAGAAAAGAAAAAAGAAAAAGAGAGAAAAGAGAAAGAAGAAGGAAAAAGAGAAAGAGAGAGAAAAAGAGAAAGAGAAAAGAGAAAGAAAAGAGAGAGAAAAGAGAAAGAGAAGGAGAGGGAGAAGAGAAAGAGAGAAAGAGAAAGAGAGAGAAAGAAAGAGAAAGAGGAAGAAGGAAAGAGAAGAGAAGAAAGAAAAGAGAAAAAGAGAAAGAGAAAGAGAGAAAGAGAAAGAGAGAAAGAAGAAAGAGAGAAAGAGAGAAAAGAGAGAAAGAAAGAGAGAAAAGAGAGAAAGAGAGAGAGAGAAAAGAGAAAGAGAAAGAGAAAGAGAAGAAGAGAGAAAAGAGGAAATGAAAGAGAAAGAGAAAGAGAAAGAGAAAGAGAGAAAGAGAAAGAAAGAGAAAAGATGAGAAGAGAAAGAAGAGAGAGAGAGAGAGAAGAAAGAGAGAGAAAGAGAGAGAAAAAGAGAAAGGAGGAAGAAAAGAAAGAAAAGAGAAAAAGGAAGAAGAGAAAAAGAGAAAGAAAAGAAAGAGAAAGAGAAAGAAAGAGAAAGAAGAAAAGAAAGAGAAAAGAGAAAAAGAGAAAGAAAGAAAGAGAAAAAGAGAAAGAGAGAAAAAAGAAAGAAAAAGAGAAAGAAAAGAAAAGAAAAAGAAAAAAGAAGAGAAAAAGAGAAAAGAAAAGAGAAAGAAAAAGAAAGAGAAGAAAAGAAAAAGAGAAAGAAAAAAGAGAAAGAAAAGAGAAAAAAGAAAAAGAGAAAGAAAGAAAGAAAAAGAAAAGAAAAAGAAAAAGAAAAAGAAAAAAAAAAAGGGAAAGGGAAAGGAAAAGGGAAAGGGAAAGGGAAAAGGGAAGGGAAAAGGGAAAGGGAAAAGGGAAAAGGGAAAAAGAAAAGGGAAAAGGGAAAGGGAAAAGGGAAAAGGAAAGGGAAAGGGAAAGGGAAAGGGAAAGGGAAAGGGAAAGGGAAAGGGAAAGGAAAGGGAAAGGGAAAGGGAAGGGAAAGGAGAAAGGAGAAAGGAGAAAGAGGAGAATGAGAGAAGACGAGGGAGAGATAGAAAAATAAAAGAAGAGAGAGAGAGAGAGAGCCAGAGACAAAGAGACAGACAGAGAGAGACAGAGAGAGAGGAGAGGGGGAGGGAGGAGGGAGGGAGGGAGAGAGAGGATGAAAGAAAAACAGAATGACAGACACAAAGAGATCAAGAACTGACCTGGGCAAACGACCTTCTTTGACCCAGTCCTGATGATGCCTGAACTTATGTGACGATCTTTCAAGGCGTGGGTGATCACAGAGAGAACAGATGTATTTGTCCGGCACCTGTTCTTCACCGAGGATATTGTAACACGCCCCATGCTGCCAGCACAGGCACACATCACACTGGAGAAGAATTTTTAAAAAGATTTGTTAGCGTAAAAATTTAATGGAAACTGCTACTACCATCTTTTTTGTGAATATTTCTGACATAAATTTCTCCTCTTCAAAAATGATTTTAACAACCATTTTTGGTATTTATAAAAGACTGATAACTATCCTACTCAATATATCAGATTTAAAGTGTCCTGAAATACATGTGATAGATATATTCACAAACATTTTCCCTCCTGTTTTTCTACACAATAAAATATTGGCAAATATACATACAGCACCATGAGTATCAAACTACAGCAAAATAGATTTATTTGAAAGAAGAGATAGACAGTATCAAAATTAGTTTGATTGTTGTCTCACCTCTCAAATAATCCTTTTTTGTTTAAGCATACATATCCATATTCTGAATACCAGGTTTACACAAAAATCATAAATGTATATAAGATGGGCCTGAACTTCCAATATCATCAAGCATTTAATAGAAGTACAACAAAACATTCATCTTATTCTCGGAATCTTATCCATTAGAGACCTCAGACCATAGCACTTAGACCAAAAACTCCTGACCCCATATCAATGACCTTGGATCCAATACCAAACTACAGGCCTCTGAACCAATAAAATGTACCAAATACCATAAACACTAACCACAGAGTCCAGACCCCAAGGCCTTAAAGTCATACAAAGTCATATCCTACCCTATTTGCACCTGGTTATGAAAATGATGGCATTAAACACTTCAAATACGCCACTCACAATTATACACCAAACACCCAGATAACACATCCCAGACACAGATCCTCTACAGAAAGCGAGCAGACTTACTTGAAGCATGAGTCCTTCTTCTTCAGTTGAGCCGCAGCCACAGTTGATGATTTCTGCGGGTGCTTCTTGCACGGATGCATTTTCTCCCCCGTCTACCCAAGTGTCTGTTGTGTCCTCTTCAACTTCGATCCCAGATGATTCCGCTGTTAATGTGTTTTTCTTTTTAAGATGTGAAGTTTATAAAGTTAATTTGTAATCATATATATTTATAATTATTCTTAGATTAGACACTACAAATTCTATTTTTTTTTAAAGGCAAATTATGCATATACTTAGTTTTTGGTTTTCAACTTGAGGAGAAAAAATGCATAGTACTGTTTTACGCAAAAGTGTATGCAATGTTGTGTGGTTAAGGAGGCAGCTAGATATTTTGGAACCTGGAGATAGGTCTTTTGAAGGGCTCCCTATATTTTTTAGCTTTGATGTAAAAATATCTATTCACTTTTTTGAACTGATTATTTTTTCCTTTTCTTTTTTGGCCCATACAAAAAGGGGTAAGAGAAAAAAAAAATCAATCAATAAATAAAAGTAACATGCACTCTTTTCTGACTAACATTATTGTAGTCAACACCAACTAGAAAATGCATCACATCTGTCAAAAGATAAAAAAAAGTAAATAAATCCTACATACATAATTCACTACATATATTTCGTTATCTTAGCAGAAGGGGGGCCTTCCATCAGGGGGCCATGGGGTGTTGCAGAAATACCCCCCTCCCTCACCCTCTCCCCTGGCTACACCGCTGAGTATGTGCGTATGCATGTGTGTGTGGATATACATATGACTACGCATGTGAACGTGTCTGACTATGCACATTCAAGTGATCTTTTAAACCTAATCATGTTTTTTCTTTAATGCAGATGGGATTCAAAGGATTAAATTATGCTGGTTTAAAAGAAATTAGTATGACAGAGAGAGAGAGAGAGAGAGATAGAGAGATAGAGAGAGAGATAGAGAGATAGAGAGAGAGAGAGAGAGAGAGAGAGAGAGAGAGAGAGAGAGAGAGAAAATACAATAAAAATCATTTACACCATGCATTTACCTTCCATGTACTGCAGTTTTTTGCCTGATGTATTTGAACTACTAACATCAGAAACGACAGTATCTGCAATTAGCGAGAAATGATACAAAAAAGCTCGAAAAAAGCAGACAAAAAAAATTAATGTAAACATTTACATTAACCTTTATAGGTACAGAAAATTTCTGAGCTTTGTGTTAACAAGGTACAAAAAAAGGCAGATCCGATTGAACTTTAATATGCAATCATTTCAATGCAAATCTTGAATATGTGTAATACAGATAATTTGGACGTTTTTCTTTTTAATTAATGATTCATGCCGTGTACATATACACTTCAGAATGGCTATTCTGTCCTTAAAGGTTTACGCAGCATTAAAGGAAATGATACAAATTATAAAAGAATAGCAGCCACATTTTAAGCAATAGACAGGCATTGCTAAAAAGACACATTGTGAAATTTTTCCAATGCACAGAATTTAAAGAAAAAGAAAAAAGAAAAAAAGAAAAATAAACTACATATAAATAAAATAAGAAAAAACACAATAAATTTTATACATCTTAAACATACATACATGCAAATAATGAATGCTACAATAAAAAAAGAGACAGAAATTTAATATTTATAACTGTATCAATTTCAGATTAAAAAAGAGGTGAGCAGTAATTTATTGTAATGCACATAGGTAGATATCAATATGTACTTGTGCAAAGCTTATTATGTATATGGATATTCAGGTAAATGAAAAAACTATCACAGATTCCATAATCAACGATCTCTCTCCCTCTCGCTCCATCCTGCTGAGATGTACTCTTTTGTTTCAATAAACGTCAAATTCAGAGTCAAAGTCAAGTCGCTCTCTCTCTCGCTCGCTCTCTCACTCTCTTCCACTCTCACACAAATAACCTAAAGAAAAAATAACATGCACCATCTTAAGCAACAGGACATTATTTGACCACAAAGTACACAGGTATAGGAGTCCAGCCTTAGCATCTACCACAAACTTACCACTCGTGACTTTGGGAGTGGATGACCCCTTCCGCTTGCTGTATCTGTATTTGGTCACTGCTTTGGTCTCCTGCTGGTCGTCTTCACTCATACTCTCTGAAGGCACTATCAGGTAAAGAGATGAAGAAAATGTTTTGCCTTTGTGGTGAGAATAAGAATAAGGGTTTTAACAAATCTTAAATAATGTATCTTTTGTATGAACAGGGGTGTATCCAAGCCCCTTCTGTAGAAGTGTGTCCATAAAACCAGTAACTACCTGTATATCTATGGCTCACTTGATCCATATTTGTCTGACAAACTAGATGTCTTGCTTGCCAAATATGTAACTTTTCTGATAAAAAAGAAAAAAAGAAAAAAAACTTCCACCAACTCACCTGACTTCCTCTTCTTACTAGTTTTGGGATCAACTTTTGATTTGGTCTTCTTCTTCTTTTGTATCTGGTCCACACCTTCATTGGGGTCATAGTCTGGGTCCTGGGTCTTGACAATTCCTCGGAGTGAAGAGTCATCCTCTAGATCATCTATGTAGTCATCCAGTTCCTCCTTCACCTCCAGTTCATCCTCAGACTTTATCTAAGAAAGAAAGGCAGAGTTCGCATTTAAGAAATTAAACTGTTTTCTTTTTAATTTTTGAAGTATTCTCAATCATGAATGTACTCTTGGTGCTGACTTTTAGATACAATTATAATATTCTAATTTAATAACATATCAAGTACATGTTCCTTTCACAATTGTAATCTTACTCTCACTTTAAAAACTATATCATAATATACAACTGGAAATAGACTATGTAAAATGAACTTAGCCAAGATACTCTAATCTCCACATGGAACACAGTCATTACCGGAAACCCTTCCAAGCTGGGCTCTTGCTTAAGTAGCTCTTTCTTCTTGGGCTCCTTGGGGTGCTTAGGTGTAGAGGCCAAAGAAGACGCCCACCACCCTGCCTTCTTCTCCGTGCTCTTGAGCTTGGTGTCACTTGGGCTCCCTGAAGCACCTCCCCGTGATGACTTCTTGGACAAAGTCTCACCCTTCAGTACCTTTTCGACGGGTGAGGAGGAGTGTGTGGGTGAGGCAGTGAGGTCGAGGTGGTCCCCTACAGTGCGGGCGT